TCCAGATAAAAATGATTTTTGCATTTTCTGTACACTTTCATTTTTTTCAAATTTACTCATGTAATTAGACTGATAAGACTTAATATGTATCTCTTTTAAAATGATCTTTATAGGGATTCTATAGAAAAAATTTGCTATGTCATGAAAACAATCTTAAAAAAGATACACACTATGACCACAATTAAAGTAAGACATGTTTGTGTGGAAAGTAATGTATTAAAATCAGTAAGCCTGGCTTGGCACCCATAGTTCAGTGGTTAGGGTTCTGGCAACATACACCAGAGCTGGTGGATTTGAACCTGGCCCAGGCCTGCTAAACAACAATGCCAACTACAACAAAAAAAATAGCCAGGTGTTGTGGTGAGCACCTGTAGTCTCAACTACTTGGGAGGCTGACTCAAGAGAATTGCTTAAGCCCAAGAGTTTGAGGTTGCTATGAGCTGTGAGGCCACAGCACTCTACCAAGGGTGACATAGTGAGATTCTGTCTCCAAAAAACAAAAAAAAAAATCAGTAAACCTATGGTGAATGACAAAAGAAAAGAGTATTTTGTGAAAAACTCTTAAAAAGATGGTAATAATATCTCTTTTACATTGCAGAACTGTGACTATGCCAACAGCATCTCCACATGTTCCAGTTTTTATTATCTGGAAGGTGCTGGCACCCTTTGAGTAGTTTATCTCACTCTTGGGGATTACAGAGTGAACTACCAACTGAAGAAATAAAGGCATCATTGAGCCTTTACTGGATGGTTATGCCTGCTTTGAAGAAAAGAGAAATGCATGAACATTATATTAGTTTCATCTCCTTTAGTTCTCACATCTGTTTCCAAGTCAAGATAAAATGCTAGCATTGAAATAGAATGATCAAAAGTAGCTACAGGGTGGCGCCTGTGGCTCAGTGAGTAGGGTGCCGGCCCCATATACCAAGGGTGGTGAGTTCAAACCCAGCCCCAGCCAAACTGCTGCAACAACAACAACAACAAAATAAAATGGCCGGGTGTTGTGGCGTGCGCCCAGGAGTTGGAGGTTGCTGTGAGCTATGTGATGCCACGGCACTCTACCGAGGGCGACAAAATGAGACTCTGTCTCTATTAAAAAAAAAAAAAAAAGGTAGCTACAGTTTTAAAAGAGAGAAAATGGATGACATGCTTGAAATGAGTCAAGTATCTGAAAATCACTGGCTAGCAAAGAATAGTTTTGGAGGAAAGACAGGAAAAACGCCCTATGTATTTAGAGAGGATTCTCACCTTTGACAAGTTACTTTTTCCTTGGTCTCAGGCTCCCTTAGAAAACATCCTATTATTAATTTGAGGGAGGAAAACCTTCAGGTGGAAAAACAATTACATCAAACAAATAGTCATTTAAACTGTCAATGTATCTAGTACAGGGTACATGAAGCTGCTCTCAGAGTGGTTTTCTGTTTGTAGTAGAGGCCTCAGGGGTACTTTACCAGCTTCTTCCTTGGCTCTGTGCCTTTCTTTGTCCCAGCCTTGATTAGTCAACATCAACAAAGACACTTGCCACTTGGTCTTCAGGTCCCTCACTGACCCTCCCTGGGCCATTCTCACTGGTCATTTAGACTGAAGACATTTCTGTGTTTTATCAAAATATTCATTCTTGGACCGTTCCATCGTGTAATGGTGAGTGCTCTGGACTCTGAATCCAGTTATCAAAATATTTATTTTTGAATTTTAAACCTATAACTATTGAGTGAGGTTTCATTTACTTAAAGGAATAAGTTTCATTCCTTTATTCATTCATTCACTTAACAAATATTTCCTGCACTGAGTGCCTGCAGTGTACCAGGTTCTGTGCTAGTGCTGGGACTATGGTGGGA